TACTTTGTATCTGCCTTTGCTGTCTATATTACCCAATCTGAACTACCCAGGGGGACGAAAGTGCCAAAATTCTTGAAATTCGCAAGGGAGTTAGGTGAATCCACCGTAGAACATATAGCGAGATATTTAGTCGAGTGTGGAGACCTAGTGAGTAATGAATATTTGAAAATGAAATATTTTCCAAGTTCACTAACCAAACATGCGTTTACGTGGTTTACGACTTTGCCACCTAATTCGATTATTACTTGGGCACAATTCGAAAGGAGTTTCGACTAAAACTTTTTTCGAGAGGAAACTAAGGTGAGCATAGTTGATCTGATGAATATAAAGAGGAAACATCATGATACATTGGACGAATATTTAAATAGATCAGGCAATTGAAGTCTCGATGTTACACAAATATTACTGAGCATGAGTTGGTAAAAATTGCAGCCAATGGATTAGACTTTTCGATTCAAAAGAAACTTGTGAATGAACATTTGAGTGATATGGCTCAACTAGCGGTGAAAGTGAGACAAATTGAACAAATTTGAGCAGATAAAGAAAGGTTGAGAAAATTTGACAAGTTCGTTCGAAAAGAAAAAGTGGCATATTTAGACAATATAGACATTAACAATGATAATTTCAAGAGTCTAAATGAAGAAATGGAAGTGAACTTAACTGAATTGCAGCCCGGGCCAACCTATCAATGCCAATTATTAAAACCTAGGGAAAATAATGTAGAGGCCGGGTCGAATAGAAAATATAGTTTTGATGTAACGAAAGCCGATAAAATATTCGATATTTTATTGAAAGATAAGAAAATTACACTTCCGGAACATCATAAAATTCCTCCTTTTTGAATGAAGAAAAGGGTAAAAATTTTGTAAGTATCACAACATTTATGGCCACTGGACTAACAATTGTGTACGTTTCAGGGACATGATCGAGAAAACGATTACTAATGGTCGCTTGACTTTCGAGGAGAGGGATATGAGAATTGATACAGATCCATTCGCTGCACAAGCAGGATATGTGGAACCTCTCCCAATGGGGATCAATATGCTAGAAATCAATATGGTTGACATGGTTGTGAACGAGGAGGAAATTGTCGAACCTATTATGGATGAAAAACTAGAAGAGCTCTTAGACGAGTTCGTGAAAGAGGAAGAACCCATTTATTCGAAAGAGGGGGACAGTTTGCTTGATTTTCTTTTGAGGAAGAAAGATGATGTTTAGGAAGTTATGCTTTATCTGAGATGTAGCGATGTGTTTCATAGATCAGCAGCTAAGGCTTTCGAGGAGTCTGAGATTATGAAAGGGTATAAAGTTGAGAAGGCTCGAGGAAAGTCGAAAGTGAATACTAGCATAGTGATGCGACAAGTTCATATTCCACAAGGCAACGCTCCTATGGCTCCCATCGGAAAGATGGAGATGTACAACTCCTCCCGAGTTGGTAATACATACCTGCCAAATGATCATGTTCCCATTGAGAAGTGGACTACTCCACAAAGGCCTAATGTTAGAGTGGGTCGAGGAAAGAAAATTGTGAACTACTCGAAAAACCCATTTTCTGGAGGACCCAGATTCATGTCGAACATGCAAGGAGGTTATGGAAGAGGAATTAAATATCCTTTTAATGGCCTTACCAAGACTCAGTGGAGAAGGCAACAATGAATGAGAAAGACAACTTTCGAGGGACACAAAGGTAATCAATTTTCGATTCCTGTACCTTAAGAGGGAGAGGCATATAAGAAATTTGTAGAGGATGAGGAGGATTTGATTATGAATTGTTTGAAAGTGGCTTCAAGGACTCCCTCGAAGATATTTGTGGAGTGGTGTCAATCCTACCTTCTGAATACGCTGAACCAATGGAATCTGTGAATGAACAGGAAGACATACACCGAGAAGATTTTTTCGGTGACCCCAACTATGAGTCAAAAATAGTATGGGTGAATCAAATCTCTCGAGTCATTCCAAAGTTTAATTCAGCCGTGTTCGATTCACCTACCCAAGGGATGAAGGACCATCTGAAACCATTATTGTTGACCATTATAATCGAAGGAGTTGAAGTCAACAAAGTCCTAGTGGATGGAGGTGCTGCTATAAACATACTCCCACAAACAATGCTGAAACATTTTGGGAAGACTTTGGCAGATCTGAAACCTCACAATAACCTTATTTCTGACTATTCGGGAAAATCATCGCAACCGTAAAGGATGATATTATTGGATGTCCAAATTGGTAGTGTGAAAAGGACCACCATGTTTATTGTTACTCCCTCTAAAGCTAACTTTAATGTGCTGCTAGGAAGAGAATGGATCCCTAGTGTACAAAGTGGCTTGATGCACCTTAACACAATTTTTTTTTTAAAAAAAATGTCATACCAATGTGAGAGATTATCAAAAGTAAAACCATGATAACTTTGGTCCAAAGTGTATAATATCATACCAATATGGACATGTATGTGGGGTGTCTCCTTGGTGCACCTTATGACACTAGGAAAGTGTGAATCTTAGTATACAAAATGGACAATATCATACCAATGTGAACATGTGTGTGGTGTACTTCCCTTGGTGCACCCTAACACATGTAAATTTTTTTAAGAAAAATGTCATACTAACGTGAGAGATTACCAAAAGTAAAATCATGAGAACTTTGGTCAAAAGTGAACAATATCATCCAAATGTGGACATCTTTGTGGGGTGTCTTCTTGGTGCAGCTTAACAAGTGGCACTAGGGAAGTGTGAATCTTGGTGTACAAAATGGATAATATCATACCAATGTGGACATGTGTGTGGGGTATCCCCTCTCAGTGCACCCTAGCACATGTAATTTTTTTTTAAAAAAAGATATCATACCAATGTGGACATGTGAGTGAGAGGTGTCTCCTTGGTGCATCCTAACAAGTGACTAGAAAAGTGTGAATCCTAATATACAAAATGCACAATATTATACAAATGTGAATATGTGTGTGGAGTACCCCCTTAATGCACCCTAACACATGTAATTTTTTTTTAAAAAATGTTCTTGTCCTTCATGTCCACATGCAACATACTAAAACTTCATATTGAATAAATTGTACAACATCAACATCAGTTGAGTACTGGGGTTTAATGTAAGACAAATATAATAATAGAAGAGTTTTGTATCACATTTCAATAATAGATGTGTTTTGTTGTGTAATAGATTCACTAATAACAATAACATTTAATTGGACTCAAAGATTGAATTAGTTTTTTTTTTTCTTTCAAGTTACATGAATTAAAAAAAATAATTTTAAATTTAAAGAACTAAAAAATAATTATCTCATATTTAAAGGACTTAAAATGTGTTTAAATTTTAGTAATTTAAATAATTAACATATCATCACAATCAACAAAATATTGTCTTACTAAATTATCTTGACACATTCTTTTTAAAAATTATAATTCCAAGTTAAATAAACGTAAAGTAAGACAATAAAATAACAGGAAATCAATAGTACTTCATAAAATAATATGTCAAATAAAACAATAAGTAAATAATTGATCAAAATCTAAAAAAGATAATAATAACAAAACTTAAGCTATTTCTTGATCCATTGAGTTTGCGAGTTATGTCATGATTGAATCCAACCTATTTTCGTGAGTTAATTCAAGCAATTTAAACATCCCTGACCACACAACCAGCTCATTGATAATTAATAAATTTATAAGAATAAAACGAACAGAATCCAATTTCGGATGGCAAACACTGATATGAATGAAACTAAGAAGGTATTCAGATTCCCTTTCATTATCACCTTGATGAACTAGTTCCAATGCTGGGAGTGGCAAAACATTGCATAATCATAAAACAATAGCAAATTATGGTGTAAGAAGCCGCAATCAACGGTGACCAAATAAACGAATCCCCCAAGTAATATTCAACCTAAGTGCTTTTGAGCACTGTCCCCTTTATGCTCCATCCACCAAGAGTAACACAACTAATAATGTCAAGTTTTCTCTCTCCTCTTAGTGGAGAATCTCTCTATAATAACATTAAACTTTTCTCTTTAGGCCCCAATCACATGTATCTTATTTAAGTATGTCACTATTCACATCAAAATTCTTTCTCGAAATATTTAACCCAATAATATATCCTAGAGTTCAAACTCTAAAGTATTAATTAAACCGAAATAACTCTTTATGCATTTGCTACTATATTTAACAAAGCTTTTTCTTAATTCTTAAAATTAATAAAATAGAAATTATTATTAAAACTGATATGATTTTTTATTAATAAAAAATTTACAATGTCAAGAACAAAATTTGAAGATAAGACCCATATTACTTTGAATTCCACTACTAATATGATCTAAACATTCAAATAGAAACTAATGCTTTGTTTGAGGAAGAAAATTGAAGAGAATGAAAAAATATGTAAAAATTAATTTGATATGAAATAAGTAGGAAATAATATAAAATTTGCAATTGCTTGCTAGAGTAAAATTACGTGAGAAATAAAAAGAAATTAGCATTTTAAAATTGTATTTTATATAATTAAATTTTAATATAAAAATATATTATTTAGACAATTATATTTTTCTTCTTTACTAATTAACTTCTTAAATAATAGTGTAGGAATAATTTTGTCCAAACATTTTTTTTGTGAAAAATTTCACACAAATTCATCCATAGGAGAATAGAATTAAATCCACATCAACTCCAATATAATTTTCTTACAAACCCTCTTAAATCGTTTTCTTCAAACACGTTTTTTAATTCCTTGATAATCCCTCATTTTCTTCTCAATTTTCTAGTAAATCACCTCCCCTTAACATGTCACAAGTATATATAAAGGAGAATTGGACAACTTAATTTCTTAAAAGAAAAATGTTAAAATAAAGGAAGATGCAAATTTGCATGCACAATGATATGTGATTACGAAAAAAATTTACAAGTTGTATAGTACCACAAGTCACAATATGAACAGTAACAGGAAGTGCAAAGCTTTCACACACAAATTGTGCCCTCTCCATTTATGGAGGAAAAAGGAACAAAGATGAAACACCAAAAAGTTGAATTTATCAATTAAAAACCATCCATTCTGGGAACAACCAGAATACCAAAACAGCATATCAATAAATTACACCCATTGTAGCAGTATTCTGAGTAAGGAAAGAAAACATAGAGAAAAAACAACAAAAAAGTAAAAAAAAATTAAACCCATTGCTGCTTTGTTGCCTCCATTCTCCGCAACAAACCATCAATCTCATCTTGCATTCTCTTTTTCATTTTATAGTAATCAAAATAGGAATTTTCCAAGACTTTGAGTTCATCCAATTTCTTCCTCTGTGTTTCCTCGGTCTCATGCAAGCAGAGTTTGCCGAGCTTTTCGGCGTACTCTTCCTCCATCTGTGCAGTCTTCGTCCTGATCATCCTCTGGAACCCTTCTGCCTCTCTTCTTGCTTCATCAGCCTTGGTTTGGAACATTCTGGCTTCTGCCTCCTTAATCCTCACAATACTCTCCAAACTTTCAAGTCCACCTTTCCTTAACAGAGTCCCCAAATGGAAATCAGCCTCATTTTTCAGTTCACTTAAGATGGAAGCTTTGATATCTTTCTGAAGTATATCACTTGACATGGTATCAGGATGTGGCCTAGAATAGCCCATGTCATAAGCATATTTTGGTAATAGAGAATTAGGTTTTGAAAGAGATGGTGTATCCTTTGTAAGATTAGCTTGAGAGACTGCCAAATCCTTTGAAGAAGGAATACCAGAAGCAGGAAAGTCTGACATGCTATCCGCAACTATTTATCAGAAAAATTATCTCTCAAACAGTTAGATATCATTGTCAGTAATTTAATTAAATCAGACAAGCCTTCATCGCAAAAAGAATAGCAATAAATAACTAAGCAAAAGCAGGAATAGGGCTTCTACACAAAAGGACATTTGATAAAAATAAAAAAAAATCACATATAGTTTGAATTATTTCATGATTCATATTCAACAAAGCCAAAGAGATAATAGCAACCATACCATCCGTGCAACTTAGGTTTATACAGTATACATATCTTTCCAGTTGTAAATATCTTAACAAGGGAGGAAAGACGATGCAAATAGTTGTAAACCAAGTTTGTAAGACCCCTACCATTTTAGGCATGAATGCTCAATGTAAAACTCCAAATCATTTCTCAACTTGCCTTGAATTTCCTGCCTCAAACAAAAAAATTGTTGCCGGAAAACTGTGGTTGTCTATCCTCATTGTTATTTTATATTTTGGCCATGGACAGCCAAACACAAAGGAGCATAATAATTTTTTGGTCAAGTGAAAATGGAGCTCAGAGTTCCACGACTAATTTGTTAAAAAAAAAAGGCATAATTTTTTGAGCTTCTCATTTATCAATCTGTGCCATACTGTATCTCTTATCCATCAGAAGCACAATATATTTTATCAACAGTAATGCTTTCCCTCCACCACAGCATACATTCAATCCTCCCTTATTCATGATCCTACCAAATCACATAAGAAGGCCACCAGTTTTTACTCACTTCCAATAAATAATGGTACTAAACAAACCCTTGGTATCATGTGAAAATGCTACCATGCAACTATATCACTAGAATATGAAGTATTAAGAGCTGAAAGATTAGCATATCGAGTGTTTTTATTACTCAATCCATTGAAGAAATTGGATTGATCCTGTGCTCCTTCGAGACCAAGCAAATCATGATGTACTCAATTACTCATAGTACACCCTTAGCACTTAAATACCGTATCTATGATTGCATCCTTAGCACTTAAATGCCGTATCTATGAAGCAAATAAACTTTTCTAAAATTAACACATAATTTTAATATGAATTGAAAAGACCACAATCAAGACACTTACAGTTGAAAAATTGCATGATGTAATTGCAGGCATCCACAGGAGATATCATTTTAGTTTGAAGCTTTAATAGCATGTCATCAGTTTTAACATGCAACTCCTTCCCTTTGCGATCTTCACTAGCCCTAAAGATCCTCCATACACAGTCAAGCTCTTTCATCAAGGTTTCGATACCCCAATCCTTTGCACAACACAGGAACACATCTTTAACGAAACCAAACATTTCCGAAGCATGTCCACAGCCAATACAATGAAACTGCATCTCTGAGGTCCCTGAAGGTCCCTTCAAGCTAGGCCCAGGCTTGATAAGATTCTTCTGAAGGCCACAGGTAGCATGGCACCAATGGGAACAAACATCACATCCAATCCAACTACAAGTGTTACTTGCACAATCAAAGTTCAAACACACAGGACACATGCAAGAACTGCAAAAGCCCTTATTCCCTGAGCAAATCTTGCAGTCACAATCATCAACAGGAAGCAAATGCTTGCAGGTTACGTTCCTACATCTCTTATACAAGAAAATCTCTACCATCTCAGGCAAGTGAACTTTGCTAGATAGGAAGCTAGCAAGCCCCATTTTGACAGCCAATAAAACCTCTAATTGTACTTTATGGCACTTTAAAAGACTCTCCTTTGTAAGGTCAGATCTTCTCTCAAGCCGGTTTTGGAGGCTTACCAATTCCTCTTTCTTCTCAGGCCTCTCAATGAGATTCTTCAAGTATTCCTTAGTTGATGCTATGACATCATCAGTAAGCTCCTGAATTGTCAATGCCATAAAAGAGACAGACTCTGAAACAATTTCCATAACAATTCTCTCTGGTCTGGAGAGCTTCTTCACCTTCCCATCATCCAAACTTTCCAAGATTCTCAGATTCTCAGAATTCCTTCCCCTTGAGTCCCCTGACTGAGCCTCAAACCTAGGCCTGGCAGGCAACTCTGAAGGGAAAAATGAATGATTATCTGAACTAGTAGTTTTATTATATTGACTATTACCTTGCATAAAGGAGCTAATACCAGCACCATGACTGGACAAAGTAACCCCATCTCCAATTGGCTTGAACCTGCTATGCACAGACCCATTAGTACCCTCTCCACAGTTCCAAATTTGGTCATCTTTGCTCACTGAATACTCAAAATTGTCGGTTGAATTGCGGGTAAGTGAGCAGCTTGGGTTGTGTGAGTAGGGGTGGGAATAAGAGTAAGACAAAGAAGCTGCTGTGTAGTCATTGGAATATGAGTTGTGAGTAGTGGATGGCCTGCAAGGTTTAGTCCTAACAGGTTGATCACCATTTTGCAAAGCGTTTGAAGCTGTGAGGGAAAGTGACACATCAGGCAAAGCAAGAGAGAGATTGAGTGTCTCCAGTTTTGGCTTCTTCTCCCTATTACTCTCCCTCTCACCAACATCCTCAAGGGATCTCTTTGAAGAATCCTCCCTTGGCTCACTCAAGCTAAGGAAATCTCTTTCCACCCATTTCCCATCCGGATTCGAATTGTCACAGACCACAACCTCTTTGGCA